TATATATATATATATATATATATATATGTAAGAATGTTTCTGTTCAGTGCCCTGAGATGACTACTGTTGTGACTTGGTGCTATATAAACAAACTGAATTGAATTGAATTAAACATCCATGGAGACACAGGAAGCAGGTGGGTAGTCACAGCCAACACCCATGGAGACACAGGAAGCAGGTGGTTCATCGCAGTTGTAGTGAACTAGACCTCCTACATCAATCTGTCTCTGAAGACCTTCAGGGGACAGGAACTGTTATTTCATTGATTTGAATACAGAAATACAAATGATCTCATCAAGAGACTATTTAATTGTATCCTGAATTAATCAATTGAAAGAACACTCTTTTTTTTAAATTATCATTACTATTTTACAATATCTTGATAATCAAAAGTGTGTTTAGTTCATACCATTTCTAATGTTGACGTAAACCACTCATTTAAATCAACTGTGAAATAGTATTAATGATATTTAAACCTCATTAGACTTAGATCATCCAAGTTAAATGTCTATTTACAAAGTAAGTGTGCATTTACTCTTCTGTCTGAATGAGGAGTGGATTTGATGTCGGTCAAAAGTCAGAGAACAAGTTATGAGAATGAAGTGCCTTGTTTTAAAACTCTGACAGTAAATAAGAAACTGGCGCGCCTGAAATTCTCTCATTGCTTCAAAATATTTTCCTGTCTGTACTAACCGTTCTTAAAAACATTTCTGCTGTCTGCGACTCCTAATAACCCTCTGACATCACTAAAACTCCACCCCTGCTGGTTGTGTTAACCAATCAGGAAGTACCAAATAACAGGAAGTGGATATCCTTTAAAAGTCAACACTTCTTGGAACTATTCAGTCTTACTGGAAGACTCGGTCTGACGGCGAGTCTTACTGGAACTTTCAGTTCTTACTGAAAGTCTTACTCAGTCTTAGCTGATAGATTTTGGACCATGAGCCAAGGGTCCGTCCATTCCATCGGAGTCACAGCACGCCTCGCTGTGAACTCACCTGGGCGTAACGCCCTACAACTTCTAATGAAGATTCCTTCTTCATTAGAAGTTCTGTTGAACGGAGTACTTCGTCACGACTTCGGCCGATTCCCAGCCACTCTGACCGGAGACGCTGAAAGATAGCATGAAATGGACCTCTGTACCGGAGCTGATTTACTTCTGCAAAGGTAACGAGTCGTCACGCACTGAGTGTACCGAGGGCTTAGCTGGGGTCGAATGTAGGGTGCCATTCCTGGTCAACACATTTTCCTTCCTCCATCTAAATCCTCCTCTTTAAATCTAAATCTATCCTCTTGTAAACCTCTTCGCCAGTAAATCAAGCTAAATGCCTTCAGAGATGAATTATTCTCCATCAGTAATCCTCTGTTGTCTTGTTATTTGAACTTGCTAAGTTTATTAATCAGAAACAGATCAGCCAATCAAGTGTACATGTTTTGATGTTAAATTTTCATTCTGTTAAATAAATGACCGCATTTATTCTGGTGGGTCAAAGATAAATGATGTCTCATGTCACTAATTATACACTCCACTCTCAGGTTATCTCGGTCACATGGCAGAAATTTAACTCGAAAAAGAAAGAATCCGTTGTTAATTAAACAGTTAATATTCTTTGTGCTTGAACTAGCCTTAAGAATAATTAATTAATAGGATGTCCACAGCAAAGCTGTCCCGACATACTACATATTTGGTGGCCCATACGGTTTCTGAAGAGATAAATTATGTGTGACCTGATATTGTGGAGAACGCTTCATGTTAGCATATAAATAGTCCAAGTTTTGACCTTGGAAAGTTATTTTTCATGGCTGTGGTGTTCAGAACGATACAGTATTGTGTTGATGTTCATTTGAAGCTGGAAATTGTCATTCTGTGTGTGTGTGATTAAGCTGTAAGCAGAGAGAAAAGACGCATCATTCTGTTGAAACTCTTCATAACCGGTGGTTCTACGGTTCCAACCCGGTTCTGATAATTGGACTCGAACGAGTCGTGTTTTAAATGGTGAGACGCTGTCTGTGAAACTGACCGCCGACTCAGAAGCTGCTTGAATGTTAATCGCTACACAGTTAATTTGTGCGTTTTCAAAGCGTTAATGGGTAAACTTATCGCCGGATTTTGGAGCTAACAGCTAGCTTACACAGATACACACGAGCTGTGATTGGTCGAGGACCGCTGTGTGAAACATTCTGATTTGCTGAGGAGCCGGTGACGTTACGCCGTGTACGTCCACTCACTCTGGCGTCAGTGCAAAAAGCCCACCCCGATGTCCACGTACCTGTAAAGTCACGTGACCCCGGAAATGAAGCTCGTTTTCAAACAGAGTCTTCTTTAGTGGTTAAAAAAGCTGAATAAAAGCCTTCAAATCGGTCCTAACCTGATGAGTTTATGCCTAAAGAGCGTGTTTTTGAAGCGACGCCACTTTCAAGCTTTAAATCCGTCTATAAATGCTGATTTGGACCGTGTTCGTCCGTTGCTAATCGAAGTTAATGGCTAACGATCGGATGTCAACAGGACGGTTCACAGGAAGTCGTCAGTGACTCCTACCGTCGAGGACGTGTACCTACAGTCACTCTGTGGTAAAAATAAGCTTGCACCGCCACCTGCTGTGGAAAACAGAGTATAACAGTTTTTCAGAACTGAAAGCTGCAAACTGGCTTTTCATTCATTTCTTTTAAAAGCATGTGGGTAAATAAAAATGTTAATCACGCTTGGTTTATGAGTTACTGTTTTAAATAGCAAATTCTGGTAAATTAAACTGCTTACAGGGCGTTTAAAACTGTAAAATAAACTGTCAGACTTTTAGTGAAAATTGTAGGTTTATTAATTTTAAGTGCATTTGAGTAAATAAACACTGGAATAGCCTGGTTCATTGTATCTGTTAGAATCAAGCTCATATTAAGTAACACTGCCACAGAAGGCATTTACTTATAATATTCGTGGATGGGGTAAAACCTAAAACAGGTGCCCAATTATTGAAAAGTTGGCTTATAACAGTACTTTGGGGGAACCGCAGAGCTGATTAGTGTGTGAAACTCGCTGCTCACTTAAATACAAACATTTACCTGTTGAAAAACTCTAAGATTGCGACGGTTTAACCTGATAGGTTTTGCTGAACAGTAAATACGACCATGGCAGATTCAACAAAAGCTGATAACGCTAATCCTGCTCCAAGTGGTGTTAAGAAGGACTGGCTTGAGTGAGCTTTGACTCTGCTCACAGATTCCTTATCTCCATATGGTGACCAGGTGGAATGCATGAACTCAACAGATTTACTCGACGAGTTAAGAAGGTGGCATGCAGTGTCACTTCTGCAGCCATAAAGAAGTCGTTCTACGAGCAGCTAGCTAAAATAGCACTCTTGCTAAAGGCTGAGTATTACCTGGAGGCCAGCAGGAGAGAAGCCCTTGAAATAAATTTGAAAAGCGACTCAGAGGACCGCGAAGCAATACATGATGAGTATCTACAGCTCATGGCACAGTTTCAATTTGAAAAGGAGACCTGGGAGAAAAAATTGCAATGTGAGAAAGTTCTCACAAGCTCAGCTGTCGTTGCAAGCAGACTCATATGAAGAAAAAGCTACGTGAAGGAGGGGTAAGGTACCAAACACTGTGTTCAGACAATGATATTCTGCACCAACGGTTGTAGCTAACATCAAAATCTCTGGACGAGTGCAAATTGGAAAAAGCGGCATTAGTCCAACAAGGCGTGTGTTTACAAAGTGAGTGTCATACATCACGTGAACGGTTAACAGCCTGTGAGGCAAAACTTGCCGTAGCCACAAATAAAATCACTGACGAGGGGAAAAGATGTCTGGAACTTGAAGACAAACTGGGTCAGAGTCCAGTTCAACCATCACCACCTCCCAAGTGGTTTTGTTGTACCACCTCCACAAACTCTCTGGTATACCACCTCCACGTGATTCTTTTGTTCCGCCTCCACCAATCCCTCATCCTCCGCTCTCAATAGCGGTATTGCAAAAAATAGCAAAATATGTCTAACGCTTAGAGCCAGGGCCGTTGGGTTCGACCGACACTAAGGCCTATCTGCAAGACCTTGACTTCCAACTGGGAAGCTATCTGAACGCTACAGTTGAGGATAAAATAGGCTTGATCAGGCTCACTTCAGCCAGCATGGTGTTTTCCTTTATCGAGCGTCAACCAGATGCCACAAGAAAGGATTACAGCCTGTTATGTGCTGCTCTAATTAAAGAGTATACCCCTTGCGCGGGACCTGGCGGTTATCCAGCAGCCGACAAGGTCATGCAAGGTAAGAATGAGCATCCAAGGGCATATTA